TGGAATGAGGTCAAGTTTATTGATCGAGATCCTCACTGGTACACACGTAGGGTCAAGGAAGCTATTCACATAAGACTTCACCCTAATAACATCAACAGGTGGAATTGAAATTCCTGGAGCATGGATGCCCACGATCAAAAAACACAACAACAGCAGAACGGTACAACAGCGGACAATTGGGGGAACAGCTACGCGCCGGAACAATGGAACAATAGGAGGATCGAAATGCACTAATCACAGCCGACCTTTGTGAAGAAGACTAGCAGTAAGCAGTCGAAACGTCGCAATCTACATCTCAAGTGACTACATCGTGAGACAAACGATAATACACTTTATTACTCCTCTAATGTGGGAGGATCCAGTTCAAAAAAATCGGTGGTTGTATTTCCATATAAGCATTTAATGCATTTCTTAGTAGAGCACAGACAATAAGCATCTTTCCTACACTAGACAAGCCAATCTTGAGGTTTTTTTTGAAATGGACAAACTTAAACTATTCAACCATATCTCCAAATAACCATTCCACAGAGACTCTATTTAATAGAGCTCATGACCTTATTGAAATTTACCATTTGTGGAGTGAGTACCATGTGTCTAATAGGGGCCTGAAGGTGTACCCTGATTGGATAAGTCGGGTCTCCATAAACAAAACGCGGAACCTGCCAGAACCATCCGGAACCCCCCGGAAATTGGCAAGCAACCAAAATAATAAAAATAAAATAAAAATAAAAAACCAAAATAAAAATAATAAATAATACAAAATAACAAAAGTCAAACAAAAATAAGAATAAAACGCTAGAAATAATAAAAATTAGTAGTTTTCACCTGAAAAAGACGGGAACAGGACGACACCTGACTAAAGGAGTGACGAGCTGATCAGAAAACAGGTACGGAAAAGAAGAGGTAAGGGCGGGTTCATTAACTTTTCATGGAGGCGTAACAAATTGTATTAAAAAAAAACAACCAGAACTAAACGAAGTATTGAAGTATTAAAACTTTTTCCTATTTCTACTTAATGATTAGCATTTTTTTTCGTAGGTTTCTACGATGTTAGCCTGTTCCAGGCTCTTGGCAGGCCTAGGCCTCCCTCGTTTTTTCTCTCGCTCATGTTCGCTCGTGTTCGCTCGTGTTCGCTCATGTTCGCTCGTGTTCGCTCGTCCCCAACTACCGAGAGCCTGGAACAGGCTACCACGATGTAAGCTCTTTGATGGGCTGTGGAGAAGTCCATTGATTTTATATTGAGCTCCATAATTCATAGGTTATTGATTCAGTCCTTGTGACAAAGCAACAAAAATGGTGTTAGGTTTGGGGGAATTATTTTTTCCCCAACCAGCCGTCTAGAAATCGCAATTAGTTTTATAATACACAGACACACACCCTGACCCAGTTCAACCGGCCTCGTCTGATATGTAAACATAAGGCAGTTTTATCATCATTTAATGAAAACGAACTTCCTTGGAAAAAAACAATCGCTGAGTGACTTCGTTTAGTTCTGGTTGTTTTTTAAATGCAATTCGCTGCGCCTGCACGAAAAGTTAATGAACCTGCGCTTACCTCTTCTTTTCTGGACTTGTTTCAGGCGAGGAAATGATTTCAATTAGCTCGTCATGATCGTTTCATTCAGTCTTTACAACACTTTTGAAATGAAACGAAACCGTGTAAACTTGTGAGCAGATTTTTAGGAAAGCGATCAGCTTTTAAGCTTACGTAACTCAAGAAACATTCATATTTCTGTTTGTACGAAGGAAATGTTACCTGGCAATAGGACACGTTTCCTCGGTTTTGATGAAAACCGACCGATATAGTTCTTCAGTATCGTCATCTTCAGATTCATCTTCTATGATGATAGTCTCTTTCGCCTCACTCATGGTCTTATTAATAAAAAAATGTGGAAGTTCTCTCGCTGACTTGCACAACGCACGGGGTTTCGAGTCCTAAAAAATACTTTGTATTTTGACCTTTGGTATGGCAAACACTCCGTTAGTCAAGTGCCGTCCTGTTCCCGTATTTTTGAGGTGAAAACTACTTATTTTTATTATTTTATTTGATCTTTATTATTTTTATTTGATTTGTGTTATTTGTACTGTTTTTATGTGATTTGTATTATTTTTATTTTTTTCGGTTTTTTGTCAAGGTTCCGGGGCTTCCGGGTGGGTTCCGGGTAGGTTCCGGGGGGTTCCGGCTAGTTCTGGGTCGTTCCTGGTGGTTCCGGCAGGTTCCAGTAGATTCCGGGTGGGTTCCGCGTTTTACACACACTCATAAACACACAGGGGATGATGCACAGGCCCGGGTGTAAACGCATAACGTTGCATGTCTTGAAGAAGATTCGAGTCTGCTAGCATGCCAACATCATGTCGCTTGCCCTCTAGATAAAATAAAACAAAGAAAACAAATATTAGGATTGGGAATTTTACCAAACGTTCATTTAGTAGGGAATTTCCTTACCTAAAGGTCCATACATGTTTCCAATAAGGCCGTTTGGAAGTGCCACGGACTGAAATTTTATCCCATGAACCCTTTTGTGGCCGTCATATACGATTCTTTGATTTTCACCAGGCTTACTTATTGGTCTCACTGTTCCATCAATAACACCAAAACAGTTGTCCAAGGGAGATCCTTTGGCTGTTATGGCACGGCTATATCTTTCCAGTAAGTAGGGGTCGAGTATACTATCATTCCACTCCAAAATTCGGTGGCTGTGTGACTGGTAGATGTAGTGGATCATGTAGTTGTTTATCGTGCATAACATTGGTACAGGCTTGGCAAATCGAGCTACCATGTCGGAGTATCTGCAAGGATAGCTCTGTCTCTTGAGCAAAATATAAAGAGCCTCCAATCCACTACAGATGCTTCTTTGATAGCACTCCACCGTTTCGTGGATCTCCAATACGTCAGCGAGAAGGGGCAAATCGCGTTTGTGGGAGCGAAATTCGGACAGGCACTCGTCGTCTTCGAAATCATCGAAATTAAAATCAGGATATGAATCGTAAGGGAGGTCGAGATTATTTGACTGGTTTAAATCATACAAGAGTAGAAGTTCGTCATCGTTTAGCACACCTTCATCGTGGCTTATCAAGAGTTGATCTCGAACTTCTGTCAATGAAGTCATCCTGATAAACAAGGGACGAATATCAATAACGTCAATAAACTTGACAGTGCAGAAACCGCGCATTGTGACAGCGCTGCTTGATTGCTTAAGAATTCCCGCCACAATGGTGTTCTCTCCCCCAGTCTTCTCACAGGTTTCGGGGTCCCCGTTGCCATCCGCGTTCCCGCTGCTTAAAGTCCCTACTGTAGCCAAGGCACTCAAGTTTCGATTTTAGCCAAGGCAGAGACATGTGAGTGTCCCCATAAAAAATACACTGGCAAGGAATTTGTAAGCAGTATCCGGCTCCTCTGTTTACTCGCTTTCCCCTTACAGCAGTCTTTCCTTTGTTTGTTCCCCGCTTTAAAAACTTGCTAGCAAGCACCGACATCAAAGGAATTTGTCCGAGTATTTATCCCAAAGAAGTTGTTGGTTTTCTCTGACTTGAAGGGAAACGAAAACTGTCGCAAGCCATCACTCGCGTAAAAGATGCCTTTACGGACTTGCGACCTAAATCTTTGAAGCAGTCTTCCATCCGCAGTTGCCTATCGTAACTAACCAGACTAATATACACTGCAGCCTGACCGAAAGACACACAGGTCGTTAGCATTCGAAACTGTATTTCTACTTTTCGTTGAGGCTGTTAATGTTGAATATGTTAATGTTGGTGGCAATTATAATTTGTCGTTTTTAAAAATCATCAAGGGAAAGTCCTAGTACTGAAGTATACACTGTAATACTGTTCAGTTATCGTCATTTTTTCGTAGGGTTGTACAGTACAGGGCGCAATAAAACAAAAATGTCATGTAATACGGCGGTATTTTTTTTGGTATTTCCAATACGGTACTGTATTTATTGTAAGCTGGGCAAGCTCCCGTAAGCGGCCATCTATCCTCTACACCTCTAATGGCCGCTTTCGAGAACCATTCTCGTAAGCGGCCAGCTCCAGTTACGGACACTGTTTTCGCGTCGCGAGGGTGTCCGCTTACAGAGATAATCTAATCGGCGCGTGTCGCGGGTCCGAAAAATTGAACTTTTATTGTTTCCTAGTTTTCCAAAAACAATAGCAATAACAATAGCTTTAAAATTAGCAGATTACAAATTTTAAAATTTTGGTTTACTATTATTTGCAAGAAGTAGGGAGCAAAACAGACAAACTCTCAAAATTCAAACACATCCCTTCAGCTAGACAAACAACGAACCCACGAAGTTCAAACGCATCAATCCCTAAAATTTGTAATCAGTTTACAGTATTGCAAAGGCAAACCATTATCTTTCAAAGCTGCTATTGTGACGTCACTAATTGATCTGTCCGCTCTGATTCTATCCGGTGGTTTTAAATTAGTCCAATGCGG